AGCGGCGAAAGGCTGCTGTGGTGCTCGGGAGCTTGCGTCCGACTGATCAACGGAGAGCGGAGCTGGCCAGGTAAGAGTACGGAGATATATGCACGCGATCAGACCATCGTCATTTTGTGAGTTTTGTTTTTGGTTGTCAGTGGAGGTTAGCTGGTTTCATTTTTCAAGGTTTTGGAAGGGTTTGTCTGAAGTATTTGTTTTGCAAGCAGTAACGGGTTTACTGGGTTTTGAAGGGGAGCAGAGGTAATGAATGGTAGTTATTGAGTTCACGGAGGTTGAGAATCTTGGGTTTACTTTAGATTGAAGAATACGTACTAGAAAGTTCAGGCACCAGCTGTTGACGTAACATTGTTTTGTTATCATTTTGTTATTATTTTTGGAGGTTTTGTTGATTTATCCACCTATTCTATCACGGGTTCCGGGTCACTGATGAGTACCATTCTACTATGATGTCTATGTGAAGTACACCTTTGGGCTGTTACTTTTTCGTGTTACCAGGGTGTCAGGCTCTGTTTTGAAGTACATGTAGGTTGAAGGTAGTTGTAGTCTTGTCGTATGAATCATTGCGGGGAGTGTGACTGCATTAATGTTGTTATTGTTGCCGTTGTTGTCTATCGGTACGAGAGTACACTACGCCGCCCAGTGGGCCTTCCGTATCCCTGTGTCGTTCATTTCCGCCGGTTTGCATACTGTGGTTGTAAATCACTCTGGTCCGCGTACCAGAAAGACAAAGTACGTAATCATTGTGGTTGCACATGTCTCGAATGACACTGCTCTTACGCCTACTTGTGTTGTCTATCTGGCACACGCCGCCGCTGCTGATATTGCAGCCTAGGGAGACCTATTTGTATCTCACTGAAGTGCCTGATGGCTTGTTACAGTTTGATACGCGCCGTCCTTTCCGCCAATTGTGCCCCTCTGTGGTGTTTTTGGTATTCCGCTGCTAAGTTCACTTAGCCATATCATGAATTTTACGCTGCATTATGCTGGGCTGTTGCCACCTGGCCTTGACTGACCAGGCTGCCCACCATAGTTCCATGACCCATCAATCTCGTTGTTACACGAAGCTGGATTCTGTCGTGAATCTGATCATTACGTGCAACACTGCTGGGGTCCTCTTTCCGCTTAAATCCCGTTGCTGGAGAGTTAATTCTCCCACTGCCGCTCAGATCATTGATCGTGGTGTGCAGTCGTGAGCCGTGCTAACAGACTATCACGTCGTGCTCGTTCAGCACAGTTTGTGTGTGTGTACACACTTGGTCTATGGCTTGCATTCCGCTGAGGTACAAACCGTTGCGTTTCCTACCCTCATGTGTATCAGGTAAACGTTACGCCAGAAACTTTGTGCATGCGCAGTCTGTGTGCACAAAACGTTCGCCCATATCTGTCTGCACTGCCCGTCCTCATGACGTTGGCGCTCGTCTGGTGCATCTCGTTTCTAGTAACCTTGTTTGGTTGCTGGTCCTCGCCGATTGGTTGAAGTTTCCCCAAACTTTGTGTATACTAACTATGGTGTGGACTATTCCTGGTACGAGACCGTCTCTTGGATGTTGTGTATTGCGTCCCAACTACGCCCGGTCTTCGTGATTATTCTCAGTGATTCTTGTGGATCAACTGTCTCGCTGCCGTGTTCTTTATGAGCTAGGCCACCATCCTTCGAGATGGAAGAAAAAATTCGCTTCTTGAGTTGGTGGAAGATCTGCCTTCTCCCTACGCCAGTCCAGTCACCTGTGAGTGAGGCATTCCTACTGCTACCTGACTTCGAGTCATTGGCTCTGCTGTTCTACCACTACGTCTCATCGTTTCACCCTACCATGCTGATACCATCACTCACCTATAGTACGATGACATGAACACCAGGATTCCATTCCGTGGTCTGCTGAGCCTCACCAAGTACCTGTCTTACCCAGCCATTGCCACCAGTTGCTGGAGTATCAATGTTTCTGCTATGTCTTCGTTGTCCGTCCACCCTGTCACTATAGCCGATTCCGTTTGGTACTGCACTTGCACTAGTACTGCTATGATGTCGTCTGTTCCCTGCTACCCTGAGTGCACTGTTCCAGTCGACCATCTTGTACTGCCATCATCTTCTATAGTGTCTACAGTCGAAGTACTGTCTTCCATGTGCCTAATAGTGTCTGCTCAACTTGATTCAAGTACTGTCGTCCACCATCATCATGAGTACCGTCCGCACTGATCTCTGTCTGCTACCTGAGTGTCACCAAGTAAGACTATCTATGTACGAACAATTGTGCCCCATACAGTTAGTTCTCTAAGTTCAGCCTTTGCTCATAGCTAACTCTCGAGTGCCTACTGCCGAACTGTTACCCCTGGTCCTGTGCCTTGAGCAGTGAACAATTAGCTCCTAGCCCCATCGTGTTTTGATTAAGATTGTTTCCCAGCACACAACAAGATTTTGTGCCAATAGATTAGATCCGCTGTCCATTCGTTTTGTTTTGTTCGGCATAGCTCATCAGTTATCTCATAGTTTTGTTCTGCTGCTAGTGACTGTTTTGCGTCACAATTTTTCAAAGATTAGACCCTGCTAGAGATGCCACCTGCCAAAGAAATTAGACTTTACATTGCGTTCATTAGTTCTAGCCGTAGCTTCTTTCCGATTTCGTTTTCCTGATTCGAAGTCTGAAGCTTTGTTCCATCTTGCTCACACCCTCTTTGGAACTACTGCGATGTTTCGTTTTCTTTTATTTTAGCCCTTTTTCATTTGCTCTTTTGTGTTATTTCTTCCCGTCACGAGGACGTGACCCTTTTCTTTGTAGCCGAGGGAGATGTCATGGCCCTGTATAGATAGTACTACTCACCAATACCACTATAGTATAGTACTAGTGCTGCACACATTCATTATCAGCCTGTCACCTACCTCTACCGCGGCTCTTCATCAATGTTCTCTTCCTTTTGATTAGGATAGGGTTACCTCTCCTGTCGCCGGACCTAGACTATCCATTACCATAGAACTGTCAGCTATTGTCTCTGTTGCCGGTCCGCTGTTCTGCTGTTCCGCTTGCTCCGATTCATGATTAGCATTAGCTTCAATACTTAGATACATTACTCTTTGCTGAGTTCAGCACAGCTCACTACTCGTTCGCTGCTGCCTGCTCGATCCTTCCCTTCGTGGCCGCTCGCATAGATTTCAGCTAGTATAAGTTCGCTAACTTAGCCAGATATCGAGGAGTCTTCGATTAGTCTTGTATGAGTCTTGTATTAGTCTTATTCTCTTTTATAGCTTTCTTGACTTTCTTTATAGGAGTTCCGCTACCGCTCAAGCGGACTTGTCCGCTTGAGCCGGTGTGGCCTTTGACTTTGTAGTTTCTTACTGTTCCTTTGTTCCTTTACTATCGGACCTGAGGGCTCCGCCACCCTGACTTCTCTCTGTGCTTTGGGTCTGAGGTACGCCTGAGTGGAACTACCAAGAGGCGCACATATACTTTGTGCAAACGGGCTTGGGATAACTAACACGTAGGGACGATCAGCCAGCCACGACATAACAAAGGGTGGCCTTATGTCTAGAAACAAAAAGTAGAAATTTATAAGAATTTATAACATCCCTATGCTTTTTTGGTCTAGGGGCGCGTTTGGTTGGTACGAACTAGAACAGGATTCACCAGAACAGCGCGTTTGGTTGGGACTGCACCTGTTCTGGGTCGGCCAGAACATGTTCTGCTTGCTCCGGCCTCGAGGCCGGAGCAGACCGAGCAGTTTCACTTTTTCACAGTGAAACCTGGTGGAAACATCGATTTTGGTCCCAAATAATCACGTGCATACGCTTTTGGGTTGGACTCGTCGTACCGTACAAAGTGATCACGGTGACCCATACACATTTTGAAGAATGCACCAAGTTTGGCACATTTTTCCACAAAAATGTGCTCTGTTTCAGGAGTAGCGTTTGGTTGGCATGAGGCTGCTCCATGTGCACAAGCTGTTCGATCCTGTTCTAGATCGTACCTAGGCCTTGACGGATTATGCTAGCATAATTTTTCGCATAATTCCTACCAAAATCGAATAATCGCATAATTCGAGGCAAATTGCATACGAATCGCATAAATTGGAATAATCCGCCTGTTCGCATCAAATTCCATACAGTTGTACATGTTCTACAAGTACAAGTACAAGTTTATGCACCAGGAAGTCGTAGGTTTACGACTCACATGTCCAGTCCACTACAATCAGTGACGGTCGTAGCTAGGTCGGACGGTGCGTTGACCCCGTTGAACCTTTGCTACTACAGTACAGCGCCCTCTACAAAAATCCCGTTATTTTGCACAGAACCATCATATACATTAGCAGCATATGTGAGCATAATGCAATTAATGCGGCATAACTTTTAGCATAAAAATAGCATAATTCTGCAATTTTTTCAGCAATGCGAAAAGCATAATTTCACGAAAATATTAGCATAATCCGTCAAGGCCTAATCGTACCAACCAAACGCACCCTAGGTCATCAAGGCAAAAAAGCATAGCGTAGGCTGTCCCTCCAGGAAATCGCGATTCCACGGATGCAACAAATTTCGCGATTTTCGCTCAAATCCGCGATTTTCAGCAAAATCCGCGATTTCCCGCGTTTTTTGTTGTTTTCTGCACTATATCTCACTTTTTATGCACTTTTCACCATGATCCTGTAGGTTATTTTCAGGGAGACGTAAAATAACGACTCCCTGGTTATTTGCATAGTATAGACTATTACCATGATTACGACTCGGACTACCCCCGAGCAGTAGATATACGATGCAACAAATTTCGTGATTTGGCCCAAATCCGCAATTTTCTGTAAATAATTCCGCGAATTCCTGGCAAGTTCTGCATCATTCCGCACTTTTCGTCGCATTTTTTGTTGTTTTCTGCTGCAATTTCTTGCGCAAGTTTTCGAGAGTTTTTTCCGCAAATTCCCGCAGGGACAGCGTCGGGCCCTGAGCTTCCAAGCTCTCTCGTTGCTTACACATTCATGCTTTCATCCATTGTACCAGCTGTTGCTCAATCATTTGCTTACAAAGGCTTTTCCATATTATTGCGGACTGGCTTCAAGTGGTTGGTTTGACTTGACACATTTTGCACAAGCAATAATAGAGAACCTTGACTTATAACAAGTACCGTATAAGTATTTGAACTCGGCTGTTGAATTGAGCCAAAGTAATCATGGATCAAAAGGAACAAAATTCTAAAAATGTTTCGAATTATCCACCAACGTACTACAGTACTAAACCAGATCATATACAGTCAGCGAGTGCGACAAAAAGGCACAAACTGACGAGGAGCACTGAGCTGGAGCACTGAACTGGAGCACTCGCTGACTGTATAATGATCTGGTTACGTTGGTGGACAGTTACTTGTACGTGTATTTTATAACAATAATATTGAAATCCAGAATCGATTTTCTCGTTCCAATCATCCGTGGGGAAATACGGAACTCAGTAAAGGATACCAACCAATGAAACTGAAATAATAAGTAATAGAAAGGTGTTAGAAATGCCAC